AATTTCCATCCCTAGAAGAAAATATAAGTCCCCGAGATCTTTTATTTTGAATTCTTGATTGAGAAATTGTTTCAACGTATGTAATTCTGCATTGTCATTTCCTGTCAAGAGTATATCATCCACATAGATAGCCACTATAGAAATGGAAGAATCTGACTTTATAAGGAACAATAAATAGTCGTTTAATGAGTGAGTGAATCCCTTAAAATTCAAAGCAGTTGTAAGTTTAGCATACTATTGTCGAGATGCTTGTCGTAGCCCATAAATCGATTTCTTTAACTTGCATGCATGAGTAGGTGAAGGAGGTACAACCTCGGGTAGGAATTTCATGTACACTTCTTCATTTAGATCTTCATGTAGGAAAGCATTATTCACATCGAGCTGGTATATACCCCCTCCTTTCTTTACTGCAATGGCCAGTATGCATCTGATTGTGGTCATCTTCACCATAGGTGAAAAAATTTCATTGAAGTCTATTCCTTCTTTCTGTATGTCTCCTCTAATGACCAATCTTGCCTTTAGTCTTTCCACACTTCCATCTGAATGTTGTTTAACCTTATACACCCATTTGCATGATAAAGCTTTCCTCCCATGTGGTAATTCAACCACTTCCCAAGTCTTATTAAGTTCAAGTGTCTCAATCTCTTTGTCCATTGCTTCTTGCCACCCTGGGTGATGTGTTGCCTGTAAATAGTTGGTAGGTTCTTGTATATTAGACAATGTGTTTAGTATATGTTGATTAGTAGAAGATAGTTCACTGAAGATATACAAGTAGGTGTAACAGGTGTAAGAAAGCAAGAGTTGCTAACATCTGTGAGTTGGAGTGCATTACAGAGATAATCCTTTAGATAAGATGGAGTGGTGTGTGGTCTGGTAGACTTTCTAAAAAGAAAATCCATCATAGGTTCAGAATCTAAAGAAGGAAAAATCGGTGCAGATGTATGTGATTGACTAGATGATACTGGAGAATCTGGAGAGAACCTAGAGAAGAGATAGAGGGAATAGGTGTGCTAGGATGAATTGAAGAAATGGGATAAGAACAGAAATCAATTGATGATTCAGTAGGCTCTTGGGAAGCTTCAGTGTAAGATCTGCTAGCAAAAGGTGAAGTTTCAGGATTTTGGTTACTTACAATAACTTTAGCATTGGGTAAAGAAATATCAGAAGGAGAATTAGACTTAATAGAAGCAAATGGAAAGAATTCTTCATGAAATACAACATCTCTAAAAATGAAGGGCTTTAAATTCTTGAAGTTTAACACTTTGTAACCCTTTTTTACATGAGGATAACCTAAGAACACACAAGGTGTAGCCCTTGGTTCAAACTTAGTTCTATGATTTGAGAGAGTAGAAGCAAAACATAAAGACCCAAAGCATATGAGATTAGAGTAATTTGGCTTGCTTGTAAAAAGAACTTCATAAGGAGTCTTAAGCTTTAAGACAGTTGAAGGAAATCAGTTGATCAAATAGGTTGTTGTAAGAAGGCAGTCACCCCAGTATGATATAGGTAGGTGTGATTGGTATAACAAGGCTCTGGATGTCTCTAAAAGATGCTTGTGCTTTCTCTCCACAACTCCATTTTCTCGTGGTGTGGACACACAAGTGGTCTGATGAATAATACCTTGTGACTGAAAAAATTCTGATTGAATGTTCCCCACTTCCCAATTCAAAAGCATTATCTGACCTTATAGTTTTCACCTTGCTGTTAAACTGCCTTTCTACCATAGCTAGAAAGCCTTTTATAATAGTGAATGCATTGGATTTGTTGGTTAGTAGGTAGGTCCATGTGCCTCTACTGAAATCATCAATAATTGTAAGAAAACACTTAAATCCATCATACGTAACACTATTGTATGATCCCCGGGTATCCACATGAATCAATTCAAACACTTTCTTGGTAGAAATAGAACTAGAGGGAAAATGAAGTTTGGACTGCCTTGCCATAGGACAAATAACGCATGGACTGGAGAATTTGGAACACTTGGATATAGAAACTGATGAAACATTTTTCATTTCTAAGGGGTATATGACCTAATCTGTAGTGCCACAGCTTTTCCTTTACAATTGAATCAGAAAAACTAAAACATGAATGCAAACCATGATTGGAAACAAAATTCCTTCTTGGAATGAAAATTCTTCTAAGCTTACGTGAACTTTTAGACACTGTTGTTGTATGTCTGGATCTAAGAATGTAGAGGACTCCTTCCTCTTTACCAATCTCCAGTAGGCTCTTCATTGAAGGGCCCTGCAGAAGGAAACAGGAAAAGGGAGTGAATAAAACATATTGCTTGAGTTGTCTGCACAACTTTTGCACAGACAACAGATTATATTTAAAGGATGGAATGAAAAGAACATTTCGGAATGAGATTGGGCAAAAGGGAAACAGTTCCTACATGAGTCACTTTAACTTTGTAAGAGTTTGGGAGTTTAACAATGAGAGGTTTAGGCAAGGTTTTTAAATTTGTGAAAAATTCTTTGTTGAAAGACATATGTTTTGTTGCTCCACTACTCAATATCAAAGACTCATCATTGATTTGAATTAAACATGCAAAATCTTCAAAGAAATTGGTCATACCAGCACATCTCACACTTGCCGCAACATCAGAGGTTCCTGCACTATTTTGTCCTATTTTCATTTGCTGAAGAAGCTGCAGCAGCTCAGCCACATTTTCCTTGGTGAGACTCTGAACTCCTGTAGCATTTTCTGCTCCCTGCTCACTTTCCTCATTTGAGAGTATAGCATTGTTTGCCTGAGCACCTCCCTGAAACCTTTTCTGCCTTATGAACTTGAAATCAGCTGGAAACCCATGAATCCTATAGCACTTGTCTATGCTATGTCCAGGCTTCTTGCAATAGGAACAAATTCTTGTATTTTTCTTAGATTCAAAACTTGTTTTCTGCATCCTGTTCTCATTAAATTTCCTGAAGTTTCCTGGTTGGTTTGTAGCAATGAATGAAGCAAATTCCCCTGAGTATGCAAGGGTAGCATGTGTCTCCCTTTATTTCTCATCTTGAATTACAAGAGAATATGTATGTCCAATGGAAGGTAATGGCGATGACAATAATATGTTGCTCCTTACCCAAATAAATATGTCATTCAGTCCCATTAGAACTGTAGTAGTCTCTCATCTTGGTGTGCTTTCAAACTTTTGACTTTTGCCCCACACTCACACTCACAAACACAAGTAGAAAATGTGTTGAGTGCATCTAGTTCATCTCATAGGCTCTTCATTTTGGTGAAGTAAGTTGATACACTTGAATTTCCTTGCACCACTGAACTTAATTCCTTATGTAATTGTAACAGTTTTGCTCCATTTGCCTGACCAAATCTGTCTTCCAGGTCACTCCATTATTCCTTTGCACTTTGTGAATAGAGAACACTTTCAGCTATCTCTTTGGACAAGGAGTTGAGCAGCCATGAAAGTACCATATCATTACATCTAGCCCAGGCTTGCTGGATTGCAGAATCAGCCTTAGGGATAATAAGAGTACCATCGATAAATCCCAGCTTGTTCTTTACAGACAAGGCAATGATAACTGCCCATCTCCAACCTCCATATCCTTTTCCATCAAAAGCTGAGGACACAAGGTTCATCCCATGGATAGCCAGAAGGATGAAGGTAGTAATAAGGGTGAGTAGAGTCAATCACTCCTGAAGCAATGGTAACTGCATGTGCAAGAATATTGGTGGTGGCAGTAGCAGAAGCTAGAGTATCAGCCGACTGTGGTGAAGAACTCATAGCAGGCAAGCTTAAGAGAAGAAGAAAAGTGAGGAAGGAAAGCTGATTTATGACTGAGGAAGCAGAATCAAACCTGCTCTGATACCATGAGAGAATGAGAAAAATAATTTGAAGATTTTCTTCTTTATATTTTCAATAATGTGTGTATTTGTTATACATACCTGGGATTATATACAAGGAAATGAATCTAAGGCTGCATATTATATTGCCAAGTGGCAATGTCCTATTAGCTAGTATAAAGTTGTACATAGAACAAATACATGGATGGAGCAAATAATTAAAATACCTTCAACATGTGCTATGCACTATGTGAATAATAGTGCTGGAAAGGGCAAGCCTATAAGTGGGCTAGGGGCAATCATGCCTAAAACCTAGTGGCCTCATATGTGTGCTATTCAGATCTGTTAATCTGATTCATCTTCATCGACTCCAACACATGATCTGATTCTGATCGCATCCTTCGTTCTTAATTAGTCATACAAATATCATTGGATTATGTTAAATTAAATAGGTACATTAAGTTGGATGGGGATTTAAATTTTCTGAATAGCCGCTGAAACAAAAAGCAACCTACAAATAGGTTTCGTTTCCCACACAGGCTAACACTACATTATTCATTTGAGCTCTTAATTCTGAAATTTGATTTATCAATCTTTTTTTTGAAGTACATGACTTTGAACTAGATAAAAAGTAGTACTAAAAATACAACTTTTTATTATTATAGCATTTAAAAAAAATTGGAAAGTTGTGGTCAAAGAAAAAGATGTTTGATTCAAGCAAGTCCTTCTCATATTATTCTTTATTTTTCGCCAAAGAAAAAAGTGTATGCAGAATCATCTAAAAATATTTGTGTTAGTACTTATGATTTTGCATTAAATTGGGTTTTATTCTTTTTTATGAGCAGAGGTTATGCCAATTAGGAACTAGAAAGGTAGTAATATTCGAGTTGGGACCCATTGGTCCTATTCCATCCGTCACAAGGTTGGACCCCAACATATGTATTATCATTTATCATGAAAATATTTTTTAATATTTGGTTGTTGAGTGCATAGAAGATATTTTTCCTAAAAAATATTAATAGATTAATGATAATATTAGCAAATTGAAGGGCCTTATCATGATAAATTTTGAATATTAAAGATTAATAACAATATCTAAATGTTAGGCGGAGCAAATACATGCATGAAATTAAAAGTTAAGATATAGTTATAAAAAAAAAAGACTCCGCCCATAAGTTAGGGAAGTCATTTTTCACGGATAGTTGATAGAAAACTTTTTTTAGTAACATTGACAATACTCGGCCTCATCTTACATCATAAAAAAAGACTCCGCCCAAAAATGACTTTCATCTTACATTGACAATACATAAAGAATAACAAATGTACAATGACAAACATGATTCTACTAGACACACTACTTATCGATCAGATCATCTATTCTTTATGTATAGTATTTGGGCCTTCACTTGTATGGGTCAAAATTGTGAGGCCCAAATGTAAACACTGCTACTAATTAACTAGTATGTCAAACAGTATATTGTCACTATGTCAGTATGGAATTTTACTGATGTTTTAGTTTAATTAGTCTGTAGGCTTGTGATTATTAATCGGCGGCTTTCGGCGAGGTCCACTTCTTCCACTGTAGTCTTTGCTCATAAGTTTTGCTACTTCATTTTCAGCATCACGAAACTCCTTTGATCCATCCACCTATCATAAATTCAGTATATCAAAACGAAACTAATAAAGAAGGGATATAAGTTATAAGCAGTGGCGGAACCAGGATTTTAAAATTATGGGTGCTCGCCGATAAAAACTTCAAAAGAAGACGAAAAATGAATTTACTTGTGGGTGCTCGCTCAATATTTATTTAAATATTTGTACAGTTGCCTATATAAATTTATTAATATGTTCAAAGTTAATGGGTGCTTAAGCACCCATAAATCCCAACGTGCATCCGCCACTGGTTATAGGAGTATATCTATACATATATAGGCAACATAATTTTTTTTTACATCAACTCATTATAGTTTAACATATGTTATAACATGTTTTTTACTCTATCTTTCAGGTTTTCAAAGTGATTAACTTAGGCTGATAGCGTAAAAAGTGGTACATCATCGGTGCACAAAACTTAAACTCTTAAAGAAAAAGTTGACATAATCTTAGGTCGGGACGTACGTAAACTAAACTGATTTTGTTCATTTGTATAACCACTTAAAAAAAATTCAAAATATAAAATCCCTTAATTACTAAGCAAAAACCATAGAATCTTTTGAGATGTGTGTATGTTAATTTGTTCCCTTGGAAGTTTGTGAAAGAGAGAGAAGAAAACCTGAGCAGTCATGTGAGCCTTCTTTGATTCACTTGTAGCATCTCCTATATATCGATCGATACAGAACCATAACATTCAACAAATAATTAATCGAGGAAAATCCATAAAATACAAATATATATTTCCTTGCCCAACATCAATATTGCCTAACTAAAATCGATAAGGTTAAATTTCTTATACAATCAGATTATTTAAAGGTAATTATAGATAACTGTTCATAATAAGTAGAACTAGTAATATGAAAAACAAGGTAATTAATAACTTTCTATAGCATGATTCAATTAATGTGTAAAGTTTTGTAACAGTGTTAGTAGATATAAGTTACTAAATCCTAATTAAAAGCTAGAAAATGACTTGATATATAGTTGTTGTGTACCTGCAACATTTGAAGCTCTTCTGTCAGACATATGCTTTTCTTTCATTACCTTACTTGAAAATTGATCCATCAGCATTTTTCTTCCCCCAGCAACTGAAGTAATGATAATATCGTCCTGTTCAGATTTGTGAATAGAGATGCTCATGAGCTAGCGTACAAAAAATACTCCTACTATTAAGTACTCCCTCCGGTCTAAATTTTTATACAAAAATACCTAGTATGACTAAACTACCCTTAATTAAATATTTAATGTGAGGAGTAAGAAAACTTTTTAGGAATATGTACATAAGGGTAATTTTGTAAAAACAAATTGAATTCTTTCTTGATTATATAAATGGACACTTATTTTGGACCAAAATAAAAAAGCAAATTGGTCACTTATTGTGGACCGGAGGGAGTAGTAAAAATCAAGAATCCATAATTGATGGTATTTGGCACAATGAGAGTCATTTTCCATGGAAAATATTTTCTATTATCTGCTTGACGAGTGGAAAATATTTGTGAATTTTTTTTATATATTAAACATTAATAATAATTAATATTATTGAAGAGAGTTTTGATGAAATTTTTGAGTAAGAAAAATTAACAATAATCTACGCACGTGTTAGTTGAAGCAAATACTTATGAGATTAAGAGTGATTAGAGTTGCTGGAAAATTGAATTCCCGGAAGTGAGGAAGTCATTTTAATTTTTCCTTTCAATGGAAAATATGTTCCTCGGAGATAACTAATCAGGGCAGCCTCGTGCACTAAGTTCCTGCTATGCGCGGAGTCCAGGAAAGGGCCGGACCACAAGGGTCTATGGTACGCAGCCTGCAAGAAGCTGTTTCCACTGCTTAAACGCGTGAGATAACTAATCAAACACTGAAAAATGATTCTTACATAAGAAAAATATGCTTCCGTTGTACCAAAGCAAAGGGAAAAGCTTCAAAAATCATACTCATACTTACGTCTTTTAGAAGAATTGCTTCTGTCAAAATGGTGACAAAATTGCTTCTATCTCCTACTTCAGAAAGGGGGAAAAATGGCCAGTTAGTATTAAATACTGTAAAAATGTCAAAATATATGCCAGTGATAGAGAACATATATAGTGTACTTACCTAACTGAGCATGTCCCTGTCGTAGAACTAACAAAGCAATGATCATAACATGGAGTATTACCAGCACAACGAAACTAAAAACTGAAGCCATTCCTGAGGAGAGAATTCTTCTTTTGTCAAAAGCATGAAACATTTGTATTTCCTCATGAAAAAAGAGAGGCAGTAATATATATAGGAGAAGCGGTTTTTATAGAGTTCAAAAATCAATCTTGAGTCAAAGCTAAGGTCTCAACTAGAGCCGGATCCAAGATTTAAATTCTATGGGTTCAACCTTTAGGTTTTTAGTATTGCTTATTATATCCTAAAGTTATGGGTTTATATCTATAATTTTAGTAACTTATTGTACATAAATTTATGCCCCGCGGCAAAAGTTATGGGATCAATTGAACCCGGCGTTATTGAGCTACATCCGCCCCTGGTCTCGACACCTGTCTTATTCTAATATGAACCCTAATATCTTACAGTACTTCGGAAATCTCAATTCATAAATTGTTTTAAATGAAAAAAAAAATATATGTAAGAATCTTATTTTTCTCCTCTCAAAACAGTTTTCAATTTTAATTGCAGTACTGACTTCTTGCAGTATACCTTCACAAATTAAGGTTGCTTGAATTAAATGCATGTTCATCCCAAGGATTAATCGTACCAAAAGAAGTGGAAAAAAATTAGACATATTTGACTGTCATGCGGTAATCTCAATTAGACAGTGTTTTGTAGTTTGTCTCTGACATGCATGCCAGAGGCAGATTTCACGTTCGATCTGTCTTGGTTTTAATCGTTATTTACCTTTGACATAAATGAGTTATAAAAAGGATGCTAACTTGATTAAATCATCAAAGTGGTATATAATCGACTAAGAATTGATTGAAACAAAGTTCAAAGGGAAATCAATATTTCTATTCAGATTTTTGTTTAATAGTCTTGTGTTGTGTACAAGTACTAGCATTAGCTAGTTTGAGGATTACATTGATCTGTCAACTAATCAACTTGTATTGGTCTAAATTTGGGCGCCTTGATAACTGCAAATAAACATGGTCGATGACAGAGTCGACCACGGCACAATGGCGAGGAGTCGTCTTAAGAAGGATTATTGCCGAGGTCAAGTAAAGGAAGCAAGGAAGCAACAGTAGGATATATATGTTTAGTAATAGACATAAGGAATATTCCATTGGATATTTTTATGTTGTACTTTTTAGGGTTTCTTAGGGATATCCCTTATAAATAGGAAGAGATAAAGAACAAAGGAGGGATCTTCACTTTTATACAGAAAAGTTTGTCTTGTTCACCGATTATATTGCTCAACACACGTTGTTTACTCTTTGTTTACAAGATCCAAAGATTCCTTATCCATCCTCACTTTTCATTATCCCATGTTGCTGTCAGGAGAAGAATCACCCAAGTCATCTAACATTTGGGTGATAAATTCCACTTTATTACATTTATTGACATTATCTACATTTATTGCATGTTCTTATTATAACATTCATTGACGATCATTGAACACGTACCTGATATTTATTATTCTCGAACACGGTCTCATCCCGCTGATCTCCTTCAATCTTAGAACTAGAATTTATTATGTTTAACTAGGATTCACCCTCTATTTTCTTAATTATTTTGACAAAAAGCTCAACACTTTTTGGTCAAACAATTTGGCGGCGTCTGTGGGGACTTTCTAGTTAAAATTTTAGTTCCTTCTAGATTAAAAAAAAAATGACAACAACCATCTTTTTTCCGTTTGCACGAACTAACATTGGCAGGAAAAGGAGATGAAAGACAGAAAGCAGTGGTGGGCGTCACCGCCAACCTCATGAACACCATCAACGAGGATAACAGAGAAAACGAGGAGAATGTGACGCCAAGTGCTACACCCAGGCGAAGTGACTCACCCCCCCCCCCCCCCCCATGGAAGTGATCGCTTCACGCGAAAGGGGAGCTTCCACGTCCACAGCTGAGGAAGCACCACCCGCAGTAAAAACACTACTAGAGGAATGGTTTACAAGTACTCTAAACAACATACTCGACAAACCCGTTCAAAGGGCGAATAGAAACGCCACACGAGCGGATACCACAGCAACCGCCGACGAGCAACCCGCTCCCCCAACAGGTAACACTCACATCGCTGTTGATGCAGGTAATGACGCACTCGCGGCCATTCTAAAGAAAATGGGAGAAATGGAGAACGAGAATAAAGCGCTCCGCGACCAAATGAGGGAGCATCAAAGGTTGATTAGATACCGGGCGCCCCGAAACTGCTACCAAAACGGGATGTCGGCCGATTCGTCGAACAACCGTATAGCGAGGAGGCAACCCCACATGCCATACCCAAGACCTTCAATATGCCACCATAATTGAAGATATACGACGGCATAACAGATCCCGAAGATCACATCATTCGTTATGTCACAGCAGTAAAAGGCAACGACCTCTCAAAAGAGCAGGTAACATCAGTGTTGCTGAAGAAGTTCGGCGAAACCCTAACAGGGGGAGCCTTAACATGGTACTCACAGTTACCGGCACAATCAATAACAACGTTCGAAGAAATGGCCGACAAGTTCGTCACCGCCCACGCCGGGGCTAAGAAGGCGGAGGCCAGGGTGAATGATATATTCGCCGTTAGGCAATCGCCTGGCGAGGGACTTAGGGACTTCCTCGCTCGGTTTAACAGAGTAAGAATGAACTTACCAAATGTATCAGAAGGGATGGGGGTGGCAGCTTTCCAAAATGGGTTGAACAAGAACGGGTCGAGAGCAACCAGAAAGTTATTAAGCAAGCTCATGAAATACCCTCCCACCACTTGGGAAGAAATTCACAACGCCTACTGCGCCAAGGTGAGAGCAGACGAGGATGACCTTAACGGTCCAACCCAACGGTTAACGTCGGTCCAAATATAGTCGAGGAAAGACCATCGTAATGACGGTCGAAGAGACCAGTCAGGTCCACGCCTCAATCGAGACAGGTATCAACCATATGTCAAAACAACTATCCCACCCTCTCCTCGCCATACGGAAGGGCCGTCCAGGATGCATACAGGGACTCAGCAAAACGAAAGAGGTATGCCTCCACTCTTATCCGCTCACAATTTTTGTGTTTCCCCTTTAGAAATAGTTTACGCACTAAAGAAGCTCGACCCGAAGGTGAAGTGGCCACAAAAGATGAAGTCCGACCCAAGTACCCGAAAGTCGAATGTCCTCTGTGAATTTCATCAGGAGCAGGGTCACAAAACCGAGGATTGCATAGCATTACGACAAAAAGTAGTGAACATGCTTCACCAAGGGCACCTAAGGGAGGTGATGAGAGACCAAGGAAGAGGCAAATTCGGCCGCAGACGAGAACAACACCAAGGCCCTCCAAAACCACCCTCCCCCGCCGGCACCATCCAAATGATCATCGGCGGAGGCGATGAAGCAACAATCAACCACGTGAAGTTTACCACCACACATAAACTGAAGCGGTCGATCACCCACGAACGGTATGATGACCTCGAAGACAGTATCATCTTCAATAAGTCAGATACCTACAGTTTGACCTTTCCTCACCTCGATGCTCTTGTCATTACTTTACGTATTTGAGATACTGATGTAAAAATAATAATGGTAGACGACGAAAGCAGCGCATGTATTATTCACCCTCGAGTTCTCGTACAAATGAGACTCGAAGACAAGATAGTACCACGCTGCATAACACTAACAGGTTTTAACAATGCAGTCGAGCGACAGGAGAGATAACGCTGCCTGTTCTGGCCGGGGGCGTCACCCTAGAAACAACATTCCATGTCATGAACCAGGACACAACTTACAACGCCATTACAAAAGACCAACTTGAGGTACACTCTGTAAATTTGACTTGGGACTGGCGCAACCGTATTATAACATATTTGCAGGAGGGAATACTCCCATCAGACTAAAAGGAAGTCAAAAAGCTTCGAATGCAGGCGGCCGGGTACAACATCACAAACCACGACCTCTACAAAAGAACGTTTGGAGTCCCCTTGGTGAAATGCCTAGGGCCGAACCAAACAAAATGCGTCCTCGAGGAAGTACACGAAGGCCACTGCGGTGCCCATACCGGCAACCGAGCCCTCTTCAGATTCCTCATACGAGCGGGTTATTATTGGCCCACCATGAAGAAGGAAGCCGCCGACTACATCAAGAAGTGCGAGCAATGCCATAAATACACTCCTAGGATACACCAAGAAAGCGAGCACCTCCACTCGATCACATCGCCATGGCCGTTCATCAAATGGGGAATGGACATTGTCAGACCCTTCTAGCAGGGCGAGGTAATATACAATTTCTTTTCGTTTTAACTGACTATTTTCCAAGTGGGTAGAAGCAGGTGCATTCGCCCAAATACGCGAACGGGAAGTTATCACATTCATATGGAGAAACATCATATGCCGCTTCGGCATCCCTAAAGAAATCAGTTGTGACAACGGCAATTCACCGGAAAAAATACCACCGAATTCTTCGAGAAATGGCACATCAAGCGAATACTCTCCACGCTATATCACCTTGCCGGTAAAGGCCAGTCCGAATCCTCCAACAAAACAATACTAAACATCTTGAAGAAAAAGCTTGAGGACGCCAAGGGATTGTGGCCGGAATTGCTACCAGAAGTGCTGTGGGCATACCGCACCACGCCAAAAACAAGCACAAGAGAAACGCAATATTCACTAGTCTATGGGACTGATGCCATGATACCAGTCGAGGTCGGGGAACCTAGTTTGAGATACTCCAATGAAAGCGGACCAAGCAACGACGAGAACAGGAAACAAGACCTCGACGTAGCAGAGGAGCGAAGAGACATGGCTTACATAAGAATGATAGCCGAAAAACAGCAATCAGAACGGTACTACAACAAAAAGGCCAAAGTACGGCCACTCAAAGTCGGGGACTATGTACTCAAGGCCAAAACACAGGCGAGCAAAGACTCAAGAGAAGGTAAACTAGGAACCAACTGGGACGGGCCATACAAAATCACGGCAGTAGCAAACAAAGGATCATTCCAACTAGAAACAATGGAGGGAAAGCTACTACAAAACAATTGGAACGTCGCCCACCTCAAATACTTCTTCTGAAAACGGACGCCCTCCAAGTCGTACTCTTTTTCCCTCACCCGGGTATTGTCCCAATTGGGTTTTCTCGGGGATGTTTTTAATGAGGCGATGAAGTGGACGTCTCGAAGTTCAAGTATAATTCATCGCCCCGCCTATCAACTACTTTTTCAGGCCGAACAATGAAGGGACTAGGTAGACTGGAACTTCTCCAATGTATGTATGGAACAAACAGAAACATGTAATATTCTCCAATGAATGAAATAAAGAAAGCAGCATCTTTGCACAACTCCACCAAGTCATTTTACACTTTACATTTGACTCGCTCGAATTACTTTATATTCGACCCGCTTGAATTACTTTACATTTGACTCGCTCGAAGTACTTTATATTCGACTCGGCCGAAGTACTTTATATTCGACTCGCTCGAATTAGTTTACATTCGACCTCACTCGAATTAGTTTACATTCGACCCGCTTGAATTACTTTACATTAGACCTTGCTCGAATTACTTTGCATTCGACCCGCTCGAATTACTTTACATTCGACCCGCTCGAGTTACTTTACATTCGACCTCGCTCAAATTACTTTACATTCGACCCGCTCGAATTACTTTACATTCGACTCGCTCGAAGTACTTTATATTCGACTCGCTCGAAGTACTTTATATTTGACTCGCTCGAATTATTTGATTTTTAACCTCATTAAACCTCGATCTCGTTTGAGCTAATCAATACTCGGCCTCATGTCGGTCCATGTTCGATTCAGCTAATATCAACCATATACAAATGGCCGAAAAATCAAGGACTTCCCCACATAGCAAAAAAAAGAAGAGAAAAGAGAACGGGAATCCAGAAATACATAGCAAAAGGGCAATTGATCCATTTCAATTATCGGATTACAATACTTTTTACAAAGGGCTCGAGGACGCCCTCACAACAATAGCAAAGCAAAAAACTAAGTACAAAATCTTCACACCACATCATCCCCATCGGCATACTCATCATCATACTAGGGATCAGAGGCAAGCCTATCCGCGGCGTCGTCATCCTCATCCCCGCCAGGTGTACCAGGGTCGTAACCACAAGCTTCACGGGCTGCACGTGCCTTGACAAGGATGCCCTCAAGCTACGCTTCGGAAACTTTCCCGGCAGCCTTCAAAGACTTGTACACATCAAGTTGAGCCTTAGCGTGGACCCACATCTCATACAACTCCCGCGGCACACCAGGATCGGCAGATGTATGGGATGTAGACGGATGTGCCTGCCGTCGTGTCTCCTCGGCCCTCAAGATAGCGACTTGCTCATTTAACTCAAACAACTCTGGCTCTAAACCCTGGATCCGTTCTACCAACCTCGCCACCTTAAGCGCTGACGTATCCACCTCGTTAGCCCGTTCGGACCTGCAAACACGGAGGGCGTCATCTAGGGCCGCCGCTTCAGCTATAGCGGCCATTCTGCCTTTCTCGGCCCGACCCTATTCTTCGATCTTGGCACTCAGCTCACCCCTCAGATCGACAACCCTTGCCTCCCTCTGCCGGAGTTCAGCCGTTAAGGACGCCACCCGCGTTTGTAGGTCAACGTTCTCAGCCATGACCCCCTTAGTCACCTCGAGCTCGTCCTCCTTGGCTTTAGCGCTGCCTCAAGCTCGATGCACCTACTGATGGCCCTCATAAGCTCATCGTCCCTCTCCCTTAGCTCTTCATCTTTCTTCGTCAGCTCATTGTCTTTCTGTTTGAGCCCATCACGAAGCGACTGAAACTCGCCATCCTGGCTGAGGAAGTCGGCCAGCGTTCGGTGCTTGGTACGGTACTCTTTGTACTTGGAGGTCATCTTCTTAAAAATGGCCGTCCTCCGCTCCTCCCGCCGGTCGCGCTCAATCCCCATAATAAGAGTCTGATGCAAAAAGGAGAAGAAGTCAGTGTAAGCATATTACGCATACGAAACAAACTTAACCTAACAGGGAAAAGCACTCACTCGCAGGGCCGTGCCAGATATACCCAACGACAGATCCGCATCTCTCATCGCTTGTAGCGTCGTATTCTCGGAAGTCGCGCACATGGGAGCAAAGGCCGACACCGCCCGTTCTGAGTCGGCCAAGAGGTCGTGGTCCACGGTAATGACTATATGTCGATAGGACCCTCCGTCCTTATCTCCACACGATTACTCCTCTCCATAAAGGTCCGTATCTCCTCAGGGTTGATGTTCGAGCCAGAGTCGTCTTCCCCCGCAGGCACAACTCTATTTCCCCCGACCGCCAATAATGAGCCACCTTCTGTGGATCGTGTAAGCTCTCCGCTACCACAAACCCCCTCAACCCCAGAGGGTCTCCTCTCCATGACGACACCCGCCGTAAAAACGGCCTCAACATCTGGCGTAAGCACAGATTCTGCTTCCAAAGCAACGAATCTTTCCGGCTCAGCGTCAGCGATAATGGCCTTCCCGGTCTCCACCCTTTGTCTTTTCCTCAACGATGTCTCCTCGCCATTAGATGGCTTATCCACGAGGTGAAATATAGGCTGAGAAGAGATCTCATTCCGCACGGCAACAGTTTGAGGGGCGGAGTCCCTCATTGGCGGAACTTGAGTCCGACCCCCTCGAACAAAATTAGCTAAGGGAAGTTGCATTCCAGCCGACGCGATAACTTGGCAAAATGCATGCACTGGAGCCTTCGCCTTTTTGGAAACTCGCCGACCTGGCACTAAAGGGAGGTCGCTTCAAAAAGCGATAGTGAACGGCAATAAGTTGAGGTAGGAATAACACTTACTGGACGGGGTCTTGGGTCCAAAACGCTTATGAAAGGACGCCCAATCGCGAATTCCCACGGTGTGGGGTAACACGCGAGCCACCCAATCTTCAATATCGAAGACGGGAGAAGGTGCCCATCTCTCAGTTGAAAACAAGGAAGCCGCGAGTGAGTCGAAAATGAAAGAATAAAAGAAAATAACGAGCTTACGGCAAGATACTTATGATTATAGTTCCATTGCTCAGGAAACCCAGTCGGATTCGCCACCAGGTGCTTGGTCTTGATGAAGAAGTACTTATGCCAGAACCGCCGGTTCGTCTTATCATCCATCCCGGCCACCAACCCTTTGATCCCATGATGCCACAGGTGTATCAATGTACCTCTATAAAATCTAGGTGAAATAGATGCAGCAGGTGGCGAACGTTGACCTCATAGCCGGCCAACTCAGCATACTTCGCCAGCATCAGAGAAACTTTGTACAAATAAGGGGAGAGTTGTGCCGGGCAGACGCTGTAAAATAGGCAAAACTCCTCCGAATGGGGGTAGAGGAAGAGAATAACCAATTAAGAATGGATAAACGTAGAAAGCACAATATCCGGGTCGGTGAACCTCTACGATGTCGCCCCCGACCGGAACAATTTCGACGTGAGGAGGAATGCGATATTTCGATCGGAGATCGGCTATTTGAGGCGGTCCCGTCTCAGAAAGCTTCTGAGCAGGAGTGGGAGCGGGTTCCTTTGGGAAGTCATGTCTGACCAAAGGGTTTTTGGG